CAAAAGGAACTTACAAGCGATTAGCGTCAACCTCATGGGACTATGTGAGCCCAACATAGGCCAAAGGTTCAATCGTGGGCTTGGTGCAGTATTTAAGGCTTTCATTATATACTTCAACATACTTCGACATAGGCCCCAAAACCGAGCAAGATTGACAGTGGATCAAACATCATCCTGGTGCGGGCGGTTGTTGCGTAGCTACCCTAATTCTTGTATGTCACAACAAGCGAGCTGCACACATTTCTCAAGATTGATGCAGCGTAGACCCCATCCTCCCGCGGCACGAAGGTTACATCACAGTCTGAGTTCGCGTTGCACCTGAGGCGGGTCAACATCCTTCGTGATGTCTTGATCGCGTTGGGTACTGTGCAATGCATGTATTTCTCAAGCTCCCCAATGATCCCAATGGCTCAAAGCCACCAATACTACGCAAATGCCGCTGATGCCATATTAGGCATCTAATTTTGCAGGACACTTGCTTCTGTTTCTATTCCAAAAGTATGTGCTGCTGTGAAATCGATCCCATCACATTCAGTTCTGCCATCCTGTTCTTGCTGCTTGGCCCCGGGCAATGTGTTGGTGTGGGAACCGAAGGGCACAACGTCCCCGTCTATTCCCAAATGCTTGGCAGCTGCTTGGATCCTTTCCACCTCAGCTTTTCTGCCTAAAAGCATCCACTTATATTTATATAAAACATCATTCTGTAAGACCCAGTCACTTCGCACTACAGTCAACCAAATGCTGCTGTAAATGCTATTGTAGCACAATGCACGCAGTGATGGCACCGACACATGTTGGACACTTGTCTCCGTTGAGGTCCACACAACATTGGTGACAATGGAATCATGAGCCTGTGACATGACTCCACGAGGAGGGTATTCATGGTGCATCGATAACTGCAGGATTAGGATGCTAAATAGACCTCTTTAAGCTGCAGAATTGATGGAAGCATCAAGTTCTCGAGGCCCTGCCTTCCCAAAGTTGCGCCGATCCCACCTGCCCATCCTCTCTCCTCAAGCGTAGTTTCTAAACATCAGTTCAACCGTGATACGTGTCTTATGTACACGTATTCGTGTCTATCACCACAAATACTTACTTACATACATGGTCCTGAGCATTGCTACGCTCACTTACAAAGGTCTTGCTTCCACCACAATATCAAGGGACGACAAACAGGCTCAGGCTCAGGCTTCTGCAATCTTGCTATCCTGTCCACATGCCAGCTTATTGTAGCACGAGTCAAGCTGCCGGTTACCGTTCCAGTGCCCTGCAAACTCCCAGCCACTGTGAGTGGCTTGGTTGACACTCCATTCGTCCTTCTTGCTTTTTTTTCTTACACATCTTCAGCTCACCTCAGAGCAATTCAAACTTTGATATACTTTGATATGGGCTTGCACATGACAAACTCAACTACGCTCGAGCCACACAAAGCAGAAAGGGGCCTCAACATGCAAAATATGCCAGGTGCCAATGCAAAAAGGCTTTCTCAATCTGTCACCTTTTTTCTCACGGTTCTGTCCCACGATTCTGTCAAATGGTTTCTATCAAACCAAACAAATGTGTCAGTGAAGGCCGCCAAATCATTGTTGTAATCTCATCAGGACGCAGAAGGTCAATTGTACTGCATGCCCTAATGCTTGATGGGTAATGCGTACTCCCTCACCCATATTGACGGGGAATTATAAATATATATATACAGTATATGCATTGTCATCCAAATCCTCTACACCTCCTAAAACTTCTGTTTCGAAAGATGGGTGTCGGACTCTGCCCCTAGTCTGTGCTCCAAAATCGCCAGGATATGCAATAGCTCCAAAGCATTTACAGTAACTCGCTCTAAGCGATTTGCAAACAGCATGGTACTATGCCTGCAGCTTTTCTTTGGCGAAAACCACTATGTTCCCTTCTTACTCCCATCAAGCTTCGTGTCGAGCCCTTCTCAGCTTTGATGGATTGTCTTGTTCTCCTCACGTTACTCACAGCTTTCGGTGTGAATTCAATTTGAACTCTTCAGGAGTGACAAAATAAGACCCCCTGATTACCTGCAAATGCTCTTGCAGTACAAGGGCGATTCCAGTCGAGTGGCACTGCACACGCCAATCCCTGACATGCTAGTGTAAGGTCTACTGGTCTACTGTATCATCGTTGAAGATGTTGGTTATTCTTCCAAGACGGCTCACTGTGTGCTGCAACCTTGTGCAACCTATCTCAGCTCAGCTAGCTCCGCAACTTTGGCGAAATATTTGACCTCGGAGTGTCAGTGTCTAACTTCATCTACAGAACACACGAATTCCGACCTGAAACTTCGGGGTTTCAGAGTCTGGCATCAACGAAACAACCAGTGACCGTGACCAGTGGGTTGGCAAAGGGGGTGGGTGGTTCAAATTTTTTTCCTCTTGAGTACCGTACCCATGTTGCCTGATGGAACCAAAAGCATCTCACAGCAGCGGAATTGGGCCAATTGGATCCGACCGTTACGACTTGGCACCGCGCTGAGTGCCACGGTACGCTCCAAATATGGCCTCGCACGTGCCGTGCGCTGAGCCTGGCTCTTCACACCTTCGATCTATTTGGAACGAATCAAAGACGAGTCCAAAATGACACATGTGAGAACAAGAGCCGCATACGTAGGTAGGCCGGTAGGAAGGGTCTTTACTAAGCCAGTCACTGTCACACGTGTTTTTAGATGCTTTTAGTACTGCAACATGTTAGACCGAATCAACTCTTTCATGCTTCTGTGGCCGCAAGTTTTGATGCGTGGCCCCCACCCCAAAGTAACTACAGTGCACACATGTCTGACATCCTGTATTGCACCCCGACGCATCCGCATGAGTCACGAGGCTTTGAACACTAGGAAAGGGAGGACAGGCAAAGAACAAATAGGTGGCGAGAATCCAGCAAATGATGCATGCTGCAGAACCCGTCTGTGGTCCGACAACTGATCCACCTTTCAATGCACGCATACTAAGGAACCTCAAAGGAACCTCACACAACTTCCCATTGCAAAATCCGTGAAAGGCACCGAGCTTGAATGGGAACACCGTGGGAAACCCCACTGCGAAAGAAGACACCACCCTCGGGCAGTGGATGTATTTGGCAAAGACTTTGGGTTTACAATTGTTTGTTGTTCTTGTAATCAGCCCATTGATTCTAAGTTGGTTAGGAAATTGCCCAATACAGTTTGCTGCAGTTTGTTCTTTAGTTTCTACGAATTGACTCTAACCCTACTTTGCTCTGTTTGCATCTGGGTTGCGGCAGCACCCCAACTCTTCAGAGCATGAGGTCTAAAGAACAAAAATGAGTGCTCAAGACTCAAGACCCTTTAAAGCCCTTCTTTTACAAAGCTGCGCCTTGAAGAAACATTTGGTTCAAAGGTCAAAAGACCAGGGAAAAAGAGAGGGGCAACCAAGGCCACCAACCAGGCCCGAGCACCGAGTGCCACCTCACTCCGGACCCAGACCCCGAACGGGACGACCCCGAACGGGCACGACCTCAGAAACCCAGTGAAACCTGCAGAAACGAAGCCCAGGGCCGGGTGCAACCCCCCTAACATGAGAGTCCTCCAGACGCCTCGCAAGAGCACCCGACACCGGTGTCCACCCTTCCGAAATGTTCTGCCAGGGGCAGGAAAAACGGTAGCAACCTGGATCAAGCTGCGGGAAGAGTGAAGCCCCAGGAGATGTGAACAGAAAAAGGGTCCGAGCGGAGAGCAGAAAAGCGGTGCTCAAATTTTTCAGGTAAGGCAAGACCGTTAAAGGTCGAAAGAGAATCCGGGTCTGGCTTTCATGGCCAGCCTCTTCAAACGTCGGACGACATTGTCCTCAAATGAAATCTCGGTCAGCTGTGCTAAAGCATCAGCCAAGTAGATCCGAGCTGTCCGTTGATTGTTCCAGCGGCCAACAACGCAAATGGAAGACAAACTGTTAGAGACCCGAAATGCGTGTGTGGCCCCGCCTCTTCGAAGCGAGTACCACTGAAATCCAGAAGGAAGTCGAAGCTCTTCCAAAATGGTCCGCAATCGAACTCGCATAGTAGGAGGACTAGCTCGACGCAACAAATCGCCTGGGGCGAAAGTGCGCGCATAGGAAAAGAGCGCAAAAACGAGCCAGGGGTCCTCAATGACCAAGGATTCCTGTGTGCCCTGGCGCATACCTCCTTTTGAAAGGAGTAAGGGGCCACACCACTCGACGAAGGGAATGATCGAAGACGAAATCCTCCCGCCGCGCCGCAAACAATTCCCCTGTGCGGGCATAGCGGTCGAATCCCAACAACAAAAGGATGGCCACATCGGGCCACTTTAGCTCAAAGGCCTGCTGAGCCAGGGCGTACACAATCAGGGGAGTAAATGGTAGCGCCCGCGCAGGGAGCTCAGCCCGGGTCCAGCTCCCGTGAAGACGCCACGCCCCGACCAGGAACCTTTGACACTGAGGGATGTAGTGCCCTAATCCGCTCAAGCAATCAGAAGCGTATGACTTGGGATCACCCGATTGCCAAAGACTTTCAACGAATTCACAAACACGTGCATCCAGGAGCATGTGGGTAGTAGGGTAGCTGTATGCACGCTCCCGCAAAAACCGTAAAAAACGTGACACTGCTACATAATATCGCGACTCAGTAGCGGGTGCCACCACAAGTTGTTGAAGTGAAGAACGCCCTTTGCACAGCACACTCAAAGCAACCATATTGTCGATCAAAATGATCGGTTGGGTGGCATGGAATCGCTCATCTTTGGCCAGTTTGCGCAGCACGTCTAGCACTGTCACAGTCTCCGACACGTTGATATGCTGACCAGCCTGTTTCCACTGGTATGAAAGCAACACTTTCCAGCGCCAGTGGGTTGGATCAATGCTTTGTCTACACATGCTTCCCAAAGGCATTGCGATTCCCTTCTCAATCCTGATGTCCCCCCCTCGGTGAGTCGCATTCCGAGTGAGAAGATAAGAAAGAATTTCTTCATCCGTCATCCAGTGACTCGGATCAACCAGGCAAGGAGACGGCAGGCCCGCAAGCCCAGAGACCCTCTGACAAAGGCTCCGGACCCCGGTGGCAGCACCCGCCTGGGATCCAAATCGAACTTTCCAGGGCTGATCTTCGTGCTGAGACCGTTCCTCCAAGTCACGCCAGCTTTTGCCATAGCAGCCCTGTGAGATCCAACCTCTTGACCTCTTCATCCTCAGTGATGACCAACCCGGGCAGCAGGCGAGCCACCATCACCGTGGCCAAGGAGTTCCCAATTAGCTGGCCCTTCTGGTCATTGCTGAGCTTGGTTTTAGCTTCCAGATGAGTGGAGTTGAATCCCATCAGACGAAGCTGTTCTCGAGGGTTAGCCCCGTCGTGGCCCCTGCGGGTCCACAACCATATTTCTGTTTTCATACTGGTAAGGAGCCATTCGAAAAGAGTCTCCTCGCCATCGACCCAAGGCCTTCTGCGATGCGGTTTCAAATCCTGCTGGATGAGGAGGCGGTTGTCTCCTTCCTACAACCTCAGATGCATGGCTTTTTTTTTGGATGTTTCTAAAAAAACAGCCTCGGCCGTAATTTTCAAAAACGGCCGTAAAATACCATAACTGCCTCTAAAGGAGGTTCCAGAGGAGGTCTCAGGATTCCAAGAGGACGATTACATTGGCATCCATTTCATGTTGGAAGTTGTGGCACTTTCAACTGCTGCCCTCCTTTCAAGAGGCCAATGAGAGTACATTACCGTATATATAGTCATGATGCAATAGCCCAGTCTTCACATAGACGCTTTGATAAAGTACATCAAAACAATTTCAAGACAAGGATGCACATGGGTTGCTGCTCCTTCCTTTTTCAGTGAGCAATGGGGAAGATACCAACTCCTGCGTTCAAAGGCCGGAGAATTGATATTTTTCCTGAAGAGTCTGCAGCATGCAAATTGATTTGCAAGCTAGTGAGTGTCCTCAGTGTCCTCATTTGGATGTGCCTTGAGGCATTTGTCAAATACGTATTCCCTTTTGCCCTGAAGCCATTGGTCCAAGAGTGTGGGATTTGTCACAAATGCTGCAACCCAAGGGTACGGAAGCTTTGGAGAAAGGTCCCATGAATGAATGGGACTTGTCATGGGTGTCAGAGCTTCATGTTATCTGGGACAGAGACAAACTTTTCCGCTCTTGCTCGCAGAAAGGGGCGCCTTTCACTAGAGGCCTCAAGCAAAGTGAAGGCGAACCAGTTGTTGTAGGATGCATTGAATGCGTCCACAATAACTTTGAAGCCTTGAAGCCTATCACCAGGCTTATTGCAGAGCATGGGTGCTTGAAGAACCCATGGGTTGACATGCTCCTTTCTGAGACGTTGCAGTTTCATGACAACTGTGGATTCCCTGACCCAAGCCGCTTGGAGTCGGTTGCCCTTAAAGATGCCTGGGCAATCAAGAAGATGTTGACCTTCTGCAGGCATAAGTGGACTAGACCAGAAACCCCAAGGGTGCCTTAGCCAAACTTTTTTGTGTGTGTGTGTGGGTGTTTTGGTTTCCGCTCCAGTGTGCTACTGGTTCTGGCATGTTTGTTGAGTTTCTGTTTTGAGGATACTTTGTTGCGGGATTTGTGCAATGATTGCCAGCAGGCATTCGAGAAGGTTTGTGATGAAACTTGGCTGCCACATTTTGTGCCTGCAGAACCCAAAACAAACAACCAACACTATACTCACTATACAGACTCTTTCATCTTGATTTTCTTAGGCGATGGGTGCCAAGCTGGCTCATCAGCAACTACAGGAGGTGGTACATGTTGATTCGGATGTGGAGGCTGACAATGAACCAGAGGAGGGTGGTGGTTTTCAGATTGGTTCCGGAAGTGAGAGTGAGAGCGTGATTCTTGTGTGGACCCCGTCCCAGAAGGAACCGCTTCAGGCAAAAAGGACTCCCCCAACAACATTGAATGTGACATGTCCCTCGAAGAGATGCTTCGTTTGGCTGAGCTGAAGTTGAAGGCCAAAAGGCTGACACTTGCACGCATTTTTTCACCCATTCAGGTATATTAATCTCCGGGCATCCCAAGGTGGTTTTGCAACACTTGGTTGTCCAAGGATGGCGCAGGAAAGGGCAAGGCTGAAGCCTTTGACCCGGCAAGCCTCTTCAGAAGGACTTTTCAGTTTGTCTCGTGAAGAAGTGATGACCTGTAATTGTGGAGTGTACTTCTTCAGCTTCCAGTTTTTACCCATTTGTCTAGGACCATTTGATGTTCTTTCAAGTGATGATGAACCTGATCCAGCTGACACCTCTGTCAAAGATTATGACGAGACTCAGCCAGTTCACTTGGACACGCAAATCATGCAGAATGCACTAGATGCACCTGGTAGTCCTTCCCAGATTGGACCTAGACCAAAGACGTTCGCGGAAACCAAACGCCGTGGCAAGAGCGATTCTGATGCAACCATTGCTTTCGGAGATGCTACAAAAACAGGGCTGTCCCCCATCAAAGAAGTTCTGCGGCTGAACATTGCCTTTTACTGTGGTTGGTTCTTGCTGATTTGTTGGTCTCGCTGTTGTTGCAGGCGTGCTTGGCAGTCCTTTTGTTCCCCAACCCGAGGTTCCGACGCGGG